ACACTCACTGAAATATGTAGATTGAACAATTTATGACTCTTATAAGTCATTGTATTGTGCTTATATAATCATTGTACATTTTTTGAAATTTAACTTAATTTGCACAAACATTGTTCAACATTTATTATCTTATTATTGAAGAATATGTTTCTGTTGTGTGACAATCTGTGTTTGTACTCTAAAGACATATTCCAAATGCAGTGCTTGTAAAACAGAAAGATCCTACAGTTTATTACAGGGCTTGAAGGTCATGGAAATCATAGAGTTATACAGTACTGGAAATCCTGGAAAAATCAAGGGCTTTTATATGGAGGTTCTAGAAAAGTCCTTCATTGTTCTCACATCCCCCATTTTTATTGTTGACAAGCTGTGCCATTGTGTTTACTTAAGCTTCACAAGAAATGGTGTCTAGAAAATATGACTGGTAAAATGGGAAATACACCGACTTTTGATACTACTGACATTAAAAACTATGCTATGAACTATGTACCTCTGTTTGCAAGCAAACAGGTGTCACACAACTATTGTTGGAATGATATTGTTAGAATAAAACAAACTTAAGACTTGTTTGGAAGAAATCAAAAATCATGAAGCTGTTGATAGGATAAAGAACATGACATTTTCAGAATTTTTCTAATTTTATGTTTAGTATAAGATGACTGATAATGGTTATAACTTAAGTTACTGCCTGAAATTGATTAATAAAACAAGAGAGAGAGAGAAATGCAAGTCTAAACAATAGCAATATAATAAAATGAATGTCATACACCTATTAAACAGCTGTTCAAGAAATAGACAAATATTTTCTCATTAAAGATAGCCTGTTAGATTATACCTGATAAGGTTACCCATTATATATATACAGTAATTGATCTGGGTCAGTTGTTTTTAATGACATTTTATGCTCCAATACTAAATGTTTTGGGGACAATGTTATGATTTTAAAGGACAATTAGGACTGTAACTACAATTTTGTGATGTATGTCAATATTATTTTGTCTCTTTGTATTCTTATAAGTTTTTCTTTCATATCTGAAGTGAATGAAAAAAACAAAAAATCAAGTTTGTAATTTTACTTGTAATCACCATACCCTGTGATGAACTGATACATATGAAAGCACCCTTGACAATAAAGAAAAATATCCAGAACAATTAGTTTTAAATTTTGTTTAAACACTGATATGTGTTATCATGCAAGAAAACTTATAGGCTGAACATCATGTTGAAATATAAAAGTTTTATTGACCCACAAGATTTCTAGTTTTTTTGATAAGTTCATTGTTTTGATAAATGTAATTGTGCAGGAAAGTGTGAAAATGTTTAGAAATAATGGAATACAATTGTGTGGGATAACCATTATTGGTAATGTGAGCAACAATATGAAAGTGGTCTCAGTAACAATATGAATCTTTGTTTTGTTGGCCTGGTGACATGTAACATAAGTTCATCAGGGACAAAATGACTTGCTGACCTATTGGCAAGTTGAAATAATATGTTGATTAAATATTTGTTTTTAGTTGCATGCTAGAGGAGTTTTTAGCTGTGGCCAAAGCACAGTGTTTGGGAGAAAGATGCAAGGATTTATCATTTGTTATTAAACTGAAATTGGAAAAAGGACTGAAAATGATGATGAATTTGTACTTTAAGTAGTCTATGATCATTTTGAATTTGTTTTGTAACAGTTTAGGTGCTAATGTTATTACTAGATTATTCTGTACAGCTGTTACTGTATTTTTATTAGATAAAATAAACATTAGCTATTTAATTTTAGTGGAGTTCACATTTTATCAAAATCGGTAAATTAGATGCTAGAAAATGACAGTTTCGTCCTGGAATTTTTTAACACATATAACAGTGTGTCATCACTTTCAATGAAAGGCAACTTTTTGTGAAAGTATTGCACTTTATGATAGATTTATGGTTTATAGAGTAAAACCATACCTAAATTGTGAAAAATATATTAAATACTAAGTCTTAAAATATTTCTCTCTCTCTTTTTGTTTCTCTATGTCATCATAAAAACAGTTTATTCATAGCTTTTACTTTATGGTTCAGCAATAAATGTTTGCTTTGTGTTATATAATAAACAGGTTTCCAGATGAAAAACTTCATGTAATAGACAAATCTCAGGATGCTTTGCAGCTTCTGCATTATATTGGCAGTCAGAAAAAACGGACTCTAACTGTACGAGACCGCCGACCCCATCTACTTGCAGAAGACACCAGTTTTGAGAAAAATAATTCTCAGGTAATAATAGATAAACAACAACATTTATTTGAAATATATAAAAGAAGAGACATATTTATGTTAAAACTAACTTTTCACATAATATTAACAATGACACTTTATTTTAATGATTAATTAATCCTCTTTCCATGGACATATTTTTCGTGTCATGAGGATTTAGTGAGTTACATTCAAAATTTAATTAAACTACTTTCTTTTCATGGTATACCAATAAATATAGTATAAAAACGTAGTTAATAATCCATATTTTAATAGTATATGTTTTAAGTTCTTACTTTTATAAGGGAATATTTAAAAAATCTAGAATTTCCTATGATATGAGAATTGTGACATTTGCTCTCTACTCAACCCTTCTACTCTAATTTATTTACCCACCCCTCCAAGAAGTATGAAATTTAATGTAAAGTACTTATTATAATATCATCATTGCTCAGGCAAAGCATAATTTTCATAGCCTTCAGTTTTGTTTGGTTACAGAGCCATGAAATAGACAACCAGACTCCTCTTGCCATTCCCACCTGTCACATCCTCTCATTTAGCAATTGCCAACAGCTCTCTTTGATATTCAATACTATAGTATTTAAAACCAATAGAAAGCCAAGGTTTTCATCTATCAAAAAACATATCATATTATGATATCTTCTGTAAAGAGAATTGTCAATTTCGCTTTCAGTTCAGGCTTGATTCCCATACATTGAAGAGCTTAGATGAAGTTTTAATGGCTCTTGTGACTTACTTAAAAAGCCAGAAAAATTGTGATAGTTTTGGGACATTGCTTTTTGCAAGTTATTATTCTGTGTTCTTTGTTACATTCATTAATTAAATAAAAAGTTATTTAGTGTAGTACTACCATTACTATAATAAAGTAGTGTTGTCATTGACAGTTGACAGCAAAAAAAACTGAGACCCAGGTAAATAATGTTTTCCTGTTTTTCATGTGCATTCTTTATTTATAATTATAAAAGTAACTAAAATGTAAAAATAGGAAACTTTTTATGTTAGTGAAGTTTAGATTAGGTGAAATAAATAATAATAATAACAAAATTTTTTCACAAGGTATACTTGCAAGTAGCTCGTATGTAATGTAATTCAATAATGTAACATGAGCTGCACATTTGCCGAGTGATTTACAACTTATAATGGTGCAAACTAATTAGACAAGGTTCAAAGGCAGTAAAACAATAAGATTTAAGTATAAATAGATGTATACTGTTATGTGTTTAAAACTATTTAGGATAAATATATGTCGTTGCATATTACAATTCGAAGTAATTGTAGAGAGAAAAAGGGTGATTTAGATTTATTTAATTTTTTTTATGTAGTTATGAGGTCAGTCAAATTCACCAATCTTTTATATAGTTAAGAGTAGAGATAATAACAGATAAAATATAAAGTTTTACTGAAAAAAAAAATGTATGAAATTTATTTAGAATGTTTTAGAGATTATAGAAATAAAATTTGAGATTTTTGACAAGAAAAGTATTTTTAATCTTAGCGTGGAAATCACTTAGCACTCAGACTAGTATATAGAAATATTATATATATATATATTCACGGACAAATCTTTAGTAAAAAATACTTCATTAAAAAAATCAAATTTTTTGTGTATGTAATATTTGTAATATTTACTAAAAGTCTGCCAGATTTTGTGAAGATACACTAAGTGTATTAAGTTATAATATGGAAACTGTAATGAGTACAAAGTGATTACGAGGTAGGTTGGTTTGACCAACCTCATAGCAAGAGAGTTAACTTAAATGCTAGAGAACTAAAGGTGACTGTATCATACGTACTTAATATTACAACATTTAGCATTACACTCTTTTATCTGCATTATGACTATTTATTAACTCCATTACTAAGTTATCTAAGAAAAAAAAAAAAACATAAACTTCACATGTATCTAATGTGATGGACAAAGTGGTTGTCATGGCAAGGCATTTGACAATAACTTCAGCTGCAGTAGGAGTCATGAAATTGGGTGAAGTGTCTTTAAACTTTATCATTAAAGGCCAGATTTTGCTCACTAAAAAAACAAAAAAACAAATACACTAAAAATAAAAAATAAATATAATCCATTTTGTAGGTTCTGAAGAAAAAAGTTTTAAATTAAAAGAATAAAATTATAATTATTTAATGCTTTAACTTGCATGTTATGTGTATATGCATGCACAGACATTTACACATATAATTAAACCCTAAATTAACAACTTTTACTTTATCAAATGGTGTTTTCTTACAGGAATATAGTCTCCCTGTTGGCACCTGGAGGGAGAAGTTACTTCTGTCCGTTTTATGAGTCTAGCATGATCCATTTGCAGAAGTGTCTATCATTAATTTTGAAAAGGGGGTGGAAAAAAGTAGAGGTCATAGTGAAGTTATGTGTGCTATGCTCCAAATTAAGCACCATAAAGAGCTTACCCTGTAGTGTTAATTAGGTATAGTTTTTTAGAAGTTTGGAAGTTTTTAATTTTATGGTCATATAAAATTTTGTTAACTCAATCAGATCGGTACAGAAAATGGTAAAACATTGCAAAGTAAACGACTGAATAGAAGCTTTGCTAATTGTGACTTTTTTTTAGCAAATCAATTTAATGCAGGTAATGAAATCTCAAATGCCATTTGAAACCTGTCTCATCTATTATTTATAGGCTGTAGGCAACTAACATGACAAAGAATTAATAGCATGAATTATCAGAAGTTTATTAGCTGATTTTGGTACTTACAATTATACTCTGTGCCATTTCGGTTTAGTATAAAGTCATGCAAAATACCACACTGAAAACAAGATTTTAATCATTAATATTGTATATTAATTTTTCAGAGCTCTGAAGGTACTCTAAAGGTGTCAGGATATGTCCGTGGACACCCCCTCAGTGTTAATGGCCTTATCCACATACCAGGATGGGGGGATTTTCAATTATCAGAAATTGATGCTGCAACAGATCCTCACCCTCTCTATTTTCATGGAAGCAAGAAGAGTTCAGCTATTGGACCAAACAACAAGGTTTATAGTTGTCAATAAAATATTGCATAAAAGATAAGCAGCACACTGGAAAAAGATCTTGAATACATTTAAGCTTTTGGTACCCCCAATGAATATATTTTTCCTTTGATTAAAAGTAAAAATCTTTCAGGAATTTAGGATTAGTTTAATTGTGTAGGTGTTTAAGAAAGAGCATAAAGAATAAATAATCAGTTCCATGATGGAGTTAAGATACTTAGCTTTAAAGACATCTGGGGATACCTTACTGGTAAGTTAAATTGATACTCTATGGGTAAGGTATTGCCATTATGAATTTATGAGTAAGTGATGATAAGGATTTTGGGGAACATTTGATTATACTTGCATTTCATTTGGTATTTTTTACTTTGTCACAAAACATTTACTCCTGAAAAACATATTTACAGGAATATGTTATTGTGTATTTTAAGCCCAAAATATTCTTGAATGATTAAACTTGTGGAATGTCTTGACAGTAGTTGAAATATGAAATAATGAATGTTTTAGGTTTTGGAGGAAGATTCACTTGAATTTCAAATTTTCAGTATGAAATTAAATGATAATTTCTATGCCTTAACAGTTGGGTATATAGTCTTGATGGCTACAAAATTCTTTAATATGCAAGCTTTACTCATTAGAAGCTGTAAAAAATAATGTCAAAATATTCTATGTTAATGGGAATATCACGTGCATGTGAAGTAGGGTTCCTGAGTTTTTATATGGATCAAATCATGTAAAGTTATTAGCTGTCTGACATGAACAAAGGGTAGTGAGTGAAGCAGAGATAGCCATTTGAACCCAAAGGATAGGTATATTTGTAAACAATTAGTGATCTAAGTAATTTGGGAAATTCATCTTTGTAGAAGGTAAAGAAAGGTGGCGAAAGGACTTCTGAGCATAATTTTGAGAGTAATTTGTGAACAGATTCTTGTCAGAAGTTGTACAAACTTATCTCTTTAAAATGAAATGTATTTCATCAAAGTGGCAGAACTAAGGTTAAGGTGCATTTATATAAGATTAAAAGTATTATATCAAGAGTTTTTGTAATATTCGTATCGGTGAGGTCAAGGGAATGATTGTTTTTCTGAAGTACTTCTGTTGAAGAGTTTTTGTTGGAACTGTGCTGAACTGCTAATGAGGAGCGAGGCCAGTATATACAAGTCAAATATGCAGTTTTTCAATAATTTTATGCCCAAAACTTAAAAAATACAGGTATTATAATAAAAAATATGAAATATTTTATTTGTAAAAATCTTTGAGAAGGATAACCAATGAATATATTTTTCCTTTGATTAAAAGTAAAAATCTTTCAGGAATTTAGGATAGGTTTGTTTGTGAAGGTGTTTAATAAAGAGAGTAAAGAATGCACAATCAGTTATATGATAGAGTTAAGATACTTCAATTCTGTCAGTAATTAAACTTAGACAACAAATAAACAAATTTGCATATTCAATTTGCAAAAACCATACATATAAATATGAAAAAAATATGAAATGTTTTATTTTCTCAAAATCTTTGAGGAGGCAGCCTCATTTTCCTTCTCTGATGAATTGTCACTGCAGAAAACATACATATAACAATCATAATTATTTCAATATTCCAAATATTGTATATAAAAAAATTAAATAGAATGTAATTTTTTGTAAAAGCATGTTGCATAGTAGTGTTAAAAGTGAATCTACATGTCCAAAAAAAAAACCTTGCAAATTACATATTTGAAAGATTACATAAACATTCTAGTCAATAAATAAATGTTGCTTTGTACACATATATATTGAAGTCAGTACTGAATTATAAAGGTAATTCTTATCCAACAAATTTGAATTGTGAAAACAGAATCATTGTATAGCTCCCAAAAAGCATTTTATTCAAAAGTAGTACAAGGCATAGTTGTACATTATATTGCAGTTAACAGTATATTAATTCTTCTAATTGAGCTATTACCTCCATTGATTATATAACCAAATATATTTTTCAGTACATTCAATATATTTTGGGATTTTAGTAACGACTACAAACTCAAATTATAAGTTGTTTTAAAAGTTTGAGCAGTTTGCATAACTTTGTATGTTAAGAAAATGTCAGGTGGAAAGCTTTTGGTAAAGAATAAAAAAATAATATAGAAATTGCCAAAACAAAGAAACTTGGAATAGGTAAATCACGCTATAATATATTTTTCAGTCATTTGATTATGTATACTCATATATATGTGTGATTTATTGAAACATCAGATCTATTAGACTGCTTAAAATTGCTTTTACTAGAAAATGTCTGAAATATTTTTTTTACCATCCGGACCCAATTTTCCAGATTCTTCTTCAAACTTCATTATCCTTAATAAATAATTTATACTCAGTGAGTATGTGGTTCTTTGTGTTTATGTGTATCACAAAGTTGTTGCTATTCAATGTTCACTGTTTGTCTTGAATATTCCCAATTGTCCAGTAAAGATAAAAGCTGCATGTTGATTTTATAGGGAGAGACAATTTCTATGGATGAAGGAATAAGGGTTCTTGACAGAGCAAATCCATTACTGCAAGAGTCACTAGAAGCTGAGAATACCCCAGATCCAATGGAGGGTGAACAGACATGGCCAACAGAAGAAGAGATGGCTCAAGCAGAGGGTATTACAAATAATAAATCGTTCCTTCTGTTGTAGTTAAATTAACAAGTGCTGTCCACTAATGATTCATTTGGTTATAAGAAACTTAAACACTTCTTTGGTTGAAGTTATAAATGTGTTGTTTATTACCAGTCAGAATTAGTAACAGATGTGTTCAATTTCTTTTTTTTGGTTGCTATACAGTGTTTTTAAATATATATTATGCAATTATCATTTGTTCCATGGCTGTTGTTGTTGCTACTACTAATTGTATTGTTAATGGCATACAACCATTAATAAGAACACATTTTTCAAGTAGGTGTTGTTGTTGTTTCATTCTATTTTATTAAATACTGTTTTGTTAGCATTCATACTGTATTATCAGACTGTTATTTCATGTAGCTGTTGTTAGCATTCAGTGTTTTGTTTTGATCTTATTGCCAATTAATACTCAGAGTAGCAATCACCAGTATTTATTATTTTTAAAGGCTTTTTTTTAAACAGGTATTAGATAGGTGTGTAACAATTATTGTCACTTAGTTAATGTTTCATTACTTTGTTACCTTCTGTACTTGTCCTGCAGTGGGTAAGTAGTAAATATGTGTTCTTACATGCTAAATTCCTCCCCCCAGAGCTTTGCAATAAAAAACCAAAAAAAAAACCTGCTTTTTGATGTGTATGTGTCGATTACTATACTACTGTACATAAAAGTTCTCAATATTCATCATATATCCCTTTTTCTGCAGCCATTCAGGACAATAAGAAGAAAAAAAAGAAAGTGCCTAAAGGTACATCAGAATATCAGGCTGCATGGATTATAGATAGTGCAGAAGAAGAGGAAAGTGATGAAGAAGACATAACTGAAATAGATCCTGAGTTGCAGGCTATGGAAGATGAGGACTCTGAGAATGAAGCTGATAATACATCTAGTGATGAAGAACTTGATACGGTAATTTTTTAGTGGTGTACATATTACTGCTTTTTTATAGAAGGGCTGTTTGAATACCTTTGAAAATTACCCTGTGAAAACATCTGTAGAAGATTCTTTTGAACCTTAATAAGCATAAAATGAAATACATTTATGATATGTTGATTCTTATTTTTAGACTAATAGGTCTTATGTAATTTTCAGGTATCAGTGACTGAGGTAGGGGATACACTTAAGTATGATGAGAAAATAGACATAGAGGAGGAAAAGAAAACGTGAGTAAGAGGTTCTGTTTTTCATTTTCAAATCTATTTTGTGTGAGATGATTTTTGGTCACATTTTAAAACATGCAACTTTTTCTGTAGTAAGTTGTAGATGGGGTATGATAATAATGTTTGTGATGATTATGTTTTTATTTATAATTTATTTCTCTGAAGAACAAAAAACTTATTTCCAGCATAGAAAAAACGAAGCTGACTGAATCTTTAACGTAGATTACTTAATGGATGACATATTTTTATGATAATGTTTGCTTTTTATGTTTTAATTTTTAGACTTGTTAAGTTCAGAGAAGAAAGAATGGAGCAGATGTTTCCTGATGAAATTGATACTCCTTTTGAAGAACCAGCCAGATACAGGTTTGCAAGGTAAAGAATAAAATGTGTATTTAATTCACACTATGAATGTTGAAACTCTTGATACATATACAAGTTTATTACATGGAAACTTCAACACATAATTTTAGAAAATCCTTTTCAGTAATCAAAAACGTTTTTTAGAATGTCATAGACATTTCATTAGAACATTTGTTAGAAAACATAGAAATAAATGCTCAAATGTTTTTCTCTGTAACAGCATTTTTTAAAGTCACTGTTGATATTAGCACTTGACAATTTGAACTACTACTGAAGCAATCTATTCTTGATTCTTCTTGATAAGTATAGAGAAAATTATCTTTCTAATGTTACATCTTTCAGTGCTGAACTTGTAGTTCTCTCAAGATTGACTTTACATAGCTATACAGTTTTTCGTCCATTGTAGTTGCATGTGGATAGGAAAGAAGTATTGTAATATCTATTCGCGGTAATTGGAGTGAAACAGATAAAACATTTGTTGTGTTACTTTGAGAATAAGATAGTTAGTGTAAATATTTATAAACTCATTTTTTATGTCATATTCCCTTTCTTTGTGAAATATACATAATATCTTAGTTTATTAACTAGTCAAGAAAATCACTGACTATTTTCTTAGAATTTGTAGAAAACAAGCACACAGAAGACTTGCTTCAATTTGATGAATGCAGAGAGTGCAGTGGTTTTTGTTTGAAGAGATGATAAATTACATTAATTTGTATATTGTATAGTAGGGAAAGTTATAGACTATAGTTTGGAACTATCAAGTGTACAAAACACTGTAAAATTCAGTATGATATTAGGGATTATGTTGAAAGACTTTATAGTAAATAATTACCTTTATTAGGTTATAAGTATTGAAAGTAAACTACTCAGCAGAGTGTGTAACTGGAAAAGGTTTTGAACATGAATACTTTTGAAAGCTTTCTTTTCAAAGTTAGATTGGTTTGATGTTGGTGTTTGAACTTGTATTCATGAATAGAAGCACTGTCTCTATGTATTTGATTATCTATGTATATGTATGAGGATTGTATATCCTGGACAAGAAGTATTGGTGGTAAGAGAGTCTGAGACATTTCAGTCCACCCACTCACACTCAAATCCACTGTTGGGCAATATGTGCAAGAAATGGAAGACAAGTGGAAATGTAGTATAGAATATCTACCCAACTGTCAAAAATTATCCTATTTGTGCTTCATTCAAACTTTAAAATTTGACAAAAAAAACTAAACAAGTGTTTGGCATTAAATTCATCCCCAGATCTTCAAAAGTTAGAGCTGCAGACTAGGAACATGAAACTTTATGAAGTAGTAAACTTCATGGAAATTTTACATATGCATAGTTGTTTTAAGTGCATTTTACCTCTCCAGGATCAGAACATATTGCCAGAGTTTTTCACAGAAGGATATAATAAGAAAATATTCTGTTAGATATTAGGAATCTTGATATGTGAACAATTTATACCATTGCTGTAGAGTTACATGTATCTTACAAGATCTATGGCTAGATATACCATTTGTATTTAACATAGTTTTTGCTAACTTTTGAAATTAGGGCGATCATAAAATGCTGACAAGAATGGCTATAAGTTTTGTTGAACTATGATTTAATGGTAGTATAATAGATAGTAACTTTGATCAAAGAAAGCTACCTATATAGATTGTAATGAAAAATCAACCTGGTAAAGAGTGTAGCTAATTAGATATACTATTCTTTATATGTTTTTACGTATCAAACTTTAGAATGCATTGTTTCATCATATGGGTACTCAATGTTCATCTGGTTTTATATGTGAATTATTTTATAATATAGTCAGATGACTTGTTGGCAATAAATTCAACGATAAATGAACAGCATGCACTCCACTTGTTTTCCAAATAATATATGTATTCAAAAGAAGTTAAATGTATGTACAACAAATTCTTTATACTTTCGCTGGGAGCATGCGTGGTGAATTTCTTGAATAATTGGGGAACTCCGCAAATGTTAGAGAAGCCTCTTTGTTAGTATATAAGCCTGGCAGAGAAAAGCCAGGGGATTATAAAGTGAACAGTAGTTACGGTGAGTTTCAGGTAATTTATGATTCTGTTTCGAGCTAGTGTGTGTTTTGCACTCGTAGAGAGCGAAGTTATTGAGATTGTGAATTGCTGTGATTTATAGCGTGTATTATAAAAGTTGTTAAGTTTAAAGTGACGAGAAACGTACTGACTGTGGAATTACTGTGCACTAAAAGTTTGTATCGAGAAAGAATAAACTGGTTTAATCAAGAAAGGACTTGTATCACTGTAGTTCCTCAAAAAAGAATTTCTACCGGAAATTAACAAACAAGCAGATACATAACAATACTATAGAGATTATAGGCATATCTTAAACACTATATGTAGTTCTCTTCTTCTTGTCAAAAGTCCACTTAGGCCTATTCAGTTACTTTAGAATTTCAGTTGACAAGCCAAACTACCTTCCCCTATTTCTATTGCACTAGTATTCTGTGTATAATTCTCTTACAATTGTGGTGCGAGTTACCATAGTCATGTACTGCTCTTCCAATAATCGTTTGGTCTTCTTTCTTCAAAATATCCTCTGTTCCTTTTGTCAAAGTGCACTCAGGCTGATTCAGTTGATTTAGAACCATGTTTTGATGGAATAAATCATTCTTCTTATCTCCTTTTCTGCTCTTAGTCTTATTCTAACATATTAAAGGTTAGGCCTATGTTAATTGTTAGGCTTATCACTTCTACGGCAGTTAACTTCACAGTGAACTTTTCCTTGGCCGTAACTTTACTCTTTTCTGCTATTGTCTGTCTGCTGTTTCCACTTGTCTCACACTATTTATATTTTTATTGCTTAATCATCTGCCCACCATCTAGAAATCTCTATATTCTTGCGACATTCGATAGTCTCAATATCAGTGAATTATAAACACAACATCCAACAATCTTCTGCTTTTAACTCTCTTATTATAAAAAACTAAATAATCATGAAATACTAACTCACAAAATAAATAAATTAATAATATCTACACTAAACAGTTTTTTATATCATGACAAATATAAAAGCGAGGAATTATTTTATTGTATAATAATTAAAATGCTCCCTGCTGGCTCAGTGATAAACTTGAGGATTTATTCTAAAATTCAGGGTTTAATCCCTCCAGTGGGCACAAAACAGGTAGCCCACCTCGTGTATTTGATTCTGCTACCCCAAATTCCCAGGAAATGATCTAGAGGTACTGTTTGGAAGGTGTTTGGACAAGTGGCAAATAAATTTAGTAAGTGTAAAGTGCCCCTATTGTATGTTACCCACTGGAAGGATAATAAAATTCTGCAGTTTAGAATAACCGTTTTTGATGGCTTGATTATAGTATTTGAATAAACATTTTGAAATTAAATTCCACTACACAGGTACCGAGGGTTAAAAAGCTTTCACAGCTCCCCCTGGGATCCCAAAGAAAATCTTCCATCAGATTATGCTAGGATTTTTCAGTTTGAAAATTTCAACAGAACTAGGAAACGAATTCTAGTAGATGAACGGGAAGGAGCTCTGGTAGGTGAAGAGGCTAGAATACAGATTCTGCTAATTGTGTTTTGTAGATAACTGAAAGTAAAGATGAAGATAGCTGGCAAGTCTACATACAGTTTTGTACTTATTAATATTGGATTCTTAATTTTTAAGATAAAAATATTGTTTATGATTTTTTGGTGTAGCCTTTAAACTTTTTTATGTTTCTTTTTGTTTCAGTAACTACTACTTTAAAAATAAAAGTCGCAAACAATGCAATGTGTGATTTTTTAACTGGAAAATGTCCACCATTGTGGTCAAGTCAGTTTGTGCCTGAATTTTGCAAAGATGACTCACAATTATAATTAGATTTGATATTGTATGTCCTTTATTTATTCTCATAGTCTCTGATTTCTGGTACATTTACATGTGTCTTAACACTCAGAACTTTAAACTAGACAAGACATTCAGTTATCATATAAGAATTAAAAGGAATGTATGTATATGAATGTTTTTATTTTCTTTTAAACAGCCTGGCTGGTATGTCACTATTCACATTGCTAATGTACCCCAAGCTTTTGTTGGTAAGTTATATTTGGTATGAACATGAAACATGAAAATTTAGAACATTTGGTAACATTCATTACTTCACTTTAGTAGAAAAACTGTAAAGTTAAATAAGAAAAAAAAGTAATTAAAATGTATTAAAACTTAGTTTTTGTAATTAGTTTTTCTTTATTAATATGTTTCTCACTCACCAGTCTCCACTGTATTTGTCTGTGCTTGATACAATGACATATGGAAAGGGGGGAATTAAGACGTCAGAAGCTTATATTAGCTGTGTAACTCAAGAAAATTATCAACACTGTTCTTAGGAGTATTAAGATTCTATCATGAACATAAGTTGACAAGTTAACTTAGTTGTTGTTAAATGTTTAAATATGACTACACAGTCTGTAAAAGTGTATTACTAAAAAAAGTGACTACTTAACTCTCTCACCATTGGCTCGGTCCCAGGGACTAACCTTGTAACCATTTAGTGCTTGTTATAGTTTTCATACTATAACTTTTAATACAGTATGTGTATCTCTGTATGGGTTTGGTCGATTTGACTGACCTTGTAACCACCATAAAAAATTAGAAAATAGTTATAGATTATGCTTTTTTTTTGTTCTAGAATGACTACAAATTATAACACAAAACCACAAATGTTTAGTCTAAATAGCTTAAACCTCATAACATTATACATC